CTCTTTCAAGTACGCCTTGCCTAACCCAGTGGGTGGACATTATAAGAGGAGGTTTTAATGATTTCTTACTCACAAAATGAGAGCCCACGGGTTTTTCTTCCATTCTAAAAAAATGAAATGAAATGAAATGAAAGACAAAAATTTGTAATTACTAATGTGACCCTGATTAGTTTTGTACAAGTTAAGAAACAGTATTATTTGATGAGAAAACGTTTATCGTAAAAGACCTGTGGCACTAATCTTCTCATGTTGTATTTTTCTGTGTTTTAGCAACTCTTGGCTGGTGTTTTACCTCCAGTTTATCATCAGCAGAATCAAGTTATAGTAAATTAACTTACCGGTCAACTCTGCGACCTATAAAATTCGAACAAATAGAAACAGTTAACGTCCGTGTTCTTATTTAAATTATGCCGACTCGCATAGAACAAGTCATTTCAAATGGCTATCGTAAAAGGGATTGCTTGCAATATTTTAAAATTGTCGAAAGGGGTTAGACTTTGCGAACGAGTTTTCTATGAGAGAACAGCATAGGACAGTACTCACATACATCACCTTTTTTATCACTTTTTTACCTTTTTCAATTTTTGTTAAGATTCTCTAATTTATGTCCATTTTGAGCCCGCAAAAGTGCCAAATTGCTGAGCAATATCTAAAATAAGGAACAATAAAGGCCTTATAATGTTTGCATTTCACATCTGTCGGTACTATTTTTCGATAACCATTTGAAATGACATAGAACAAGTCATTTCAAATGGTTATCGTTAAAGGGTTTCCTTGCAATAATTTTTAAATTTCTCAAAGCGGTTAGACTCCGTGTACGTGTTTTCTATGAGGGAATTAATTATATAAAATTGTCAAAGAAGCGTAGCCAAGTCGACTATCGCTGAGAGTAACGCTCAGAACCTCGTAATAGTGCAATTTTCAACACTTACGTTTGTGGCTCTTGACGACTGAGTTAATTATAGATGCTGTTAAGAGCAAGGCTAGAACTCCTATCACTTCCCTTCACTTCACTTAGCTTCTTTGTGCCTCGTGGCACATAAGGCCTCCACAGAATGCCTCCAATTTTCTCTGTTGGCTGCAGCAGCTCTTGCCTCATCCC